TGTACCATTTCTAATGACAAGCACAACGGCTCATTAAAAAGGGCCTATTCATTGAAAGATTCACAAAGAGGCTTATTAGTTCATGAAATTAAATTGTTATCGATTTTAATATATTTTTGCAAGGTTTTCACAAATTTTGGATGTTGTATGCTTAGATACAGTTACTATTGATATTGTGAACAATATAAATACCTAAAATACTTCAAATTACTTAAATATGAATTGAATAGTGGCAGAAAAAAATAAAATTCATTTTCTGGTTTGTTACGTTTTGGACATAGGCCCATTTCAAATGTTACTCTAGATATGGCGTACGAACGGTGCATTGCTGACGACCGGTTGCTAGATTTGCAAATTCCGTTGGATTTGTTTAATTTTTTAAATAGTAAGTTGTTTTATTTTCGTCATCATACAGCATTTACTAATCATATATTTTTGTAAAACGAGGAATCGACGAGTTTGATTTCCTTACCATCTCACCCCAAAGATAGGCAGAGGAAGTGCAGCTGGCAGTTGTATTGCATTGGATTGTAAGTTTTTTGTGCGTGTATAAAATAGCTTAAACGTGTAAGGGGCTGTTCATTAGCTACGTGGACAGTTTTTTTTAATTCATGACCCCCCCCCCTCCTCCCGCGTAGACAATTGTCCATACAAAATTATAAAAATGATTAGTAGCTATCAAGCGGTTCTAAAGAATGGTATCAAAATACGATGCCCATTTCAAATGTCAAATCAAATCTCAAGAGGGGGGTAGAGGGGTTGGCAATTAGTTTATGAACAGCCCTTCTTATATGACCATCTGCATTAAGCTGAACAATAAAATAAATAAACAAATATCTATTCAGTTATTTTTATGGTTTGGAAAAATCATTTTAGAACGTCTAACAACAGTTTTGATACAAAGAAAATGACTGAAATTTAAGCGAAAGTGTAGTAAAATTCACTTAGAAAGTAGTATAAAATCTATGTTGCTTTCTAGTGGATTGGGGGAAGATCTTTTCACTTTGAGTGATTTTCACTTAGATGTTACATGAAAATATAGTGAAATTTACTTCAAAGGCCTATACTACCTATTACAGTTTTATGTGGATTGAAATTAAAGCTTTAGAACCGATCTACACTACCGATCATAAGTTTAAGGACACCCCAAAAAACCATGCAAATATGTTTTGTTCAATTTTCGATCTCCAAAGGTTATTTGAATGGTATGAATGGTATAGCATAAGGGAAGGTCGCATGTCACGCAAATTGGCCCATTTTCAACCCCCCTCCCCCCTTTGCCACATTTTTTATATCGACCTTAATTGTTTTTTGTTACGCTCGTCACAGTTTCCAAAAAACCCCTCCCCCCCTAAAAGTATGACATAATTAATGGACGACCCCTAAGTGTTCTACTACCACTTTTATTTCAAAATTTGGCCAACCCAATTCTGAGAAAATCAGTCACGATTCTTCAGAGTAAATTTTGAAAAATATTGTAACTTTGGGTGAACTTTTAGCACACAAAATTTGAAAATTATATTGAACAATTTGCCAACGAGGAAAGTTCCATTCAATACCTGTCTTTCAAATGATCTAAAGAGAACGAAAATTGAACGTAACATGACAGAGATATGAACCTAACAAATTTGTCATGTTTTTTTGGGGGTGTCCTTAAACTTATACACGGGAGTGTACATATGAAAAAAGTAAAATTTACGTGCAAAACTAGATGGAAAAAATATTCATATGTTTTCATGTAACATCTAAGTGAAAAAAATTCTGAGTGGACGTATGTGCGTGGATTTGAGTTACTTACTCTTTTTTCTCGTCGATAGCTGAACCGAAATGAGCGGAACAATATTCAGATAGTGTATTTATAGCTCCAGTAGAACCTTACAAAAAGTTTATCCCGATCAGATATATAGGGTTTTTGATCTAATTCCCGTCCTACTAGATTAGATTTTCTTCGTTCTACGGAAGTGGATTCACTAGGAGCGCTTCTTTTGTTTTGAGAATAATTAGTGTAAAAATATTCATACAATGCGCTGTATAGCATAGAGGTAACTCTAAGACTAGTAGGTCCCGAAGAAACATGCTCAACTGTTTGGCTCAGCTCTGGTACTATCATCGGTCCCAAGCTAATCGATTCACCCCTCGAAACATAGGAAAATTCACTAACCCCTCATTTTATCTGTCAAACTTTCATAGCGAATCAAAACAAACATTGTGTAGTACTAGAATTTCGACTTGAATGGGGTACGTTAATCGATTTGCTTGGGACCAATAGTCTAGTCAAGTAGTAAGCCAATTTAAAATCGTTAGTTTCCACCGGTTGGTAATAGGCTTCATGTTGCGGCTTATGAACTAACGGATCAGAACAAACGTATTATTGTTTTGTGCATGGAGAAATCATTAATATTATTTACGATTTCTACTCGATAGAAAGGAAATAAAAATAGTACTACTAGCTCACTTCTCTTGGCGATGGCAGATCCGTCATTTAGCACATGAAATGGAGTAAAGGGAAATGGAACGATGCGAAACGGAACGCAGAATCAAAACAAAACAGCAAATAAGGCTGCCAGAAACTCAATTTATGTTTCTCATATATAAAACCCTATTGAATTCCATCCCGATCGGACATTTGGTTCCGGAGATTTGACCAAAATCGTGATATTTGCAATACAACAGCAATACTCACTCACTTGTCTCGGCTATGACCAAACCGATTTGAGTGCAACCGGTTCACTTATGTTTTATTTATCTCTCATAGAACCCTATTAAATTTAATTCAAATCAGACATTTGGTTCAAAAGATATGACCAAAATAGTGAAATATTGCAATCAAACAACAATACTCACTCACGTTTTTTGGCGATGGCTGTTTCATTTTTTGTATTTGCTTGCCACAGAACTCTATTGAATTCCATTTCTAATATTTTATTTCGGAGATTTGACTAAAATAGTGAATTTAACCAATAAAACAGCAATACTCACTTACTTTTCTTGGCGGTTGCTGAACCGATTTGAGCGAGTTAAAGACAGACACTCCCATCCACTACCGTGGGGTCTCCCTTAGCTCAGTCGGTAAAGGCGCAGCTACAAAGCAAGACCATGCTGGAGGTGGCTGGGTTCAATTCCCGGTACAGGTCTAGGAATTTTCCGGGTTGGAAAATGTCTCGACTTCCCAAAGGAATAACAAGTGTGATACTATTACTGCCCTAAATCTGTGGTTCTCTCATGCAGTGGTTCATCGGAGAGGGGAATCTTAGTAATCCCCATCGCCTGCCCATGGCGCCATTCTATCGCGGCATGAGCCAGCAATGCCGTCCATAAACCTACCGTCTCCAACACTCCACTATAAAGCATGAAATTAAGCCCGCCCACCAGCAGCAAGGTGCAAAAACTAGCCAAGAGGAGGGATCGAAAAGCTACATTTCAAAGACGTAATATTATAAGAAGTTTTATAAAAATGAGCACCGAAGGTTATTCAAGTTAATACCAGGGTTCTAAAGTTTAATTCGACGATCATGTGGGCAAAAAACTATGGCTATTAGAAAATCTTATTTATTGGAATACTAGACACCAAACCATTTAAGAACATAAGGGATCAAATCTCTCTATAGTCGAGATACTTGGTTCACGTTTCTAAATTTCAGAAAAGTGGGCAAAACTTTTCTAAATATAATGTTCATCAAGTGCTATGGTCATTGAACTCTGTCTTAGTATCGACGAAAGGCTAAGCTATTAAATCTTATCAACAAGGAGGATCAAGTATCCCCATCTTCATCTACGTTCAATCAATCGTCATAAGATTTACAAAATGTTATTTTCAACGATGAATGATAAGCTTGGCTTAAAATACAGAGTGACAGAAAGGATTTGAGCTGTTACAAATAATTTGCACAAAAGTTTGTAAACTCACTCAGGAGCTACAAAAAAAAACAGCTGCATTCCACACATCAAATGGCAAAACTACATTTTCTAGCAGCCATCAGACCATAAAAATCACAACAGCAGTGGTGCATTTAATTTCGAAAAAAAAACTTATCATTCATATGGACCAGAAGCACGGGGGCTGCTGCAATTCGGCTTGAAAAATTTCTCCACCATCTCACGCCGTTTGCGCTGCCGCCAATCAATGTGGCAATGTACCCTCTTGAATGGTGCCAGTGCAGGCATGAAAATGAGCGCTAAATAACTAGTTTTTATTTTACGTACTGTATGGACGCATGGTTTGCAATAATGGTTTCAATTTCCTTAACTGACAAACGTGTTCGCTCAGCAGAGTTGCTTCGCGTCAGTTTTGTGCCCGAAAGGGAAAATATTTGTGAATGAGCATAGTCGAGATCGAGCGCGAAGCGCTAATGACGTCTGCACAATGTGGTCCAAAGGGGAATTTTTACTACGAATTAACACTTCTTTCTGCTCTAATTTGTTGGTAAAATTTTCTTCGGAAACCGGTTTTCGATCGCGATTCATCAACCTCAAGCAACTTACTTGCTTTGTCAAGTATTTTTGTGGTGGATATGTTGCACATTTGACTCAAACTCACCACAGCATATCGTCAAATACTTGCGCAACCTTTCGCAACCCACATCATCATCATCAACAACAACAACAACATCGAGAGACCAACAAAAAAATGCAATCCAGACGCATCCAAACGAATCGAAAACAAGGTCAATAGCGCTACATCCCCGGCCAAACATTCGGTGCAAGGTGCGGTGGTGGAGATGAGCCACCGTTTATGAAACCACCGCCATCGAATTATCAGTTATCTATTGCTGCTACGAAATGCACCGTACGACGAACGGGATCCCCACCGTTATTAAAAAAAAAAAGCTACAGCAATCGACCCACTCTCACGTGCTCTTCTGTTCTGCAGAACACCTATTACATGTTCCACTCGACGGAACTCAAGCCACTGTTGTTCTATCCGATTTCCTCCCACGCATACACATGGTCGCGATGTTCAAACCAGTAAATTAATTAGCTAGCTATAGTTATTCACTCACCAGATGACGCTGGAGGCTTCTCCTTCGGGTAGCAGTACCGGAACAATCCACGCGTCCGGGTGTAGTAGACGAGCCTGTTGTTGAACGATTCGGTGAGTGACGCCCCATCTGGATGCTTTGCTATAAATGTCTGCAAATGAGAGAAAAGGAAAAGTCAAACACAACAAAACCATAACTAATGAAAAGTGATCAATCTTGATTTATATCATATTTTTGCTTTTGATTGTGCAGCGATGTGATGGTGCGCGAAATCAAAGCAAGCCCCCCGAGAGCCGGAGCAATTTCGCAGCTCATTTCCACGAACTAATTGAGTCGCTCTTTCTTTCATTTTTGCACCTCACTCATCCCGGTTTTACAAGTTCAGTAGGCTCGTCCGGCTCGTCAAACTCAACACACCATACACATGCATGGAGCCTTGCCTTGATGGTGACGTTGAACTTTTTTTTATTTTTTGCTGCTTTGCCAAGCTTCCCAAGCCTATGCCTAAACGGTGTTGGATTGCAGCTATTAAAGTGTGTACCAGTGACAGTGAAAGTTGGATTCGCTTTCGTTTGACAATTACCCGGGTGCGTCTTTGGTATGATGAGTTCCCAAACTGGTCGGATTGGCTCTGGTGAAGAGAGTCGGAGTGGACGACAACTTGATGCGTTGCATTGTGCACTTGATAGACAGAACCGGTAACTGGTTTAGGTAAAATGTATTGTAGGGTTTTTTATATTAAATATTGCCGATCATATTGATGCAAAGATTGACGACGAAAATATTGATGAACATATCGACGCAAAATCTTTAAAGTGGACCCTACAAGATTGCTTTTATTGCCAATAATCTTATTGTCAATACATTTTATATTGACGTCAATAAATCGATATTGACAATATTTCTGTATTCACATCATCAATATTATTGTCAATTATTCCCTTTCACGTCAATATATTGATACGTGTGGGGTTCGCTTAAGTGATCCCCTCACGTACCAATATATTGACGCGAGCGGGAATTATTGACAATAAATAATATTGTTGTTGTGATTACAGAAATATTGTCAATATCGATGTATTGACGTCAATATAGGATGTATTGACAATACTATTATAAAATCAATCGTGTAACATATTTGCTTTGAAATATTTCATCGGACGATATAACAAATTTAATGAGGAACAGCCCTGTATTGTTGATCCAATTATTGTTGAAATTGATATTGATAGAAATATTGACAATACTTCTGCCGTGTGCAGGGATGGCAGTTCAGGGTTTCTACTCATATTCCAAAATCAAATTTCTTGACTTTTCCAGGTTTTTTCAGGTCTTCAGAGAAGTTTCCAGTTTTTTAAGATTTTTTTATAAAAACGTTAAACTACATTTTTTTTAATTATCTACGTTCCTTGTCCTGATAGAGGGTTCATCCACCAGGATTACATTTGACTAAATAAATTACAATTTTAATTACAATTACAATTACTTTAAAAATATTCTATTTTGGGAATTGCTGATTGAACCTGAAACTAAACTGCCCCAAAAATGCAAAAAGTGTGATTAAAGTGCACATTTCCGTAAAATTGTTTTGATGTCTTCGGAGCACTTATTGTTTGACTTACTTACTTATCCTGGTCCGACATCCCTCAGGATTGCACCTGCTTCACAATGTTACGCCAATTCAATCGGTCCGTGGCTGCTTGTCTGCAATTTCTGGCCCGTACCACACTTCCAAGATCCTGCTTCACTTCCTGCATCCTGAACAGGGTTCGCCAAAGAGTTGCGCCAGTTCGTGGTTCATCCTGCGCCTCCATACACCGTTCTTACATACCCCACCAAAGATGGTCCTAAGCAATCGTCGTTCGAAAACACCCAGTGCTTGCAGGTCCTCCTCGAGCATCGTCCACGTCTCGTGCCCGTGGAGAACTACCGGTCTTAACAGTGTCTTGTATATGGTACATTTAGTACGGAGGTGATGTTTACCCGACCTCAGGGTCTTGTGGAGTCCGTAGTAAGCACGACTTCCGGCAATAATACGCTGACGAATTTCTCTGCTGCAGTTGTTATCCGACGTCACCAATGATCCGAGGTACACAAATTCATCCACCACCTCACTCATCTCCGACGATTGTCACGCTTCTGCTTATGGCTAACAGATACTTTGTCTTCGACGTATTCACCTTTAATCCAACCTTCTCTGCTTCACGTTTCAGCCTGGTGTACTGCTCCCGCCACGGCCTGAAACGTTCTTCCGACAATGTCCACGTCGTCAGCGAAGCAGATGAACTGGCTGGACTTATTAAAGATCGTGCCCCGCATGTTAAAGCCCGCACGTTTCATAACACCTAGCGCAATGTTGAACAGGAGGCAAGATAGACCATCGCCTTGTCGAAGTCCTTTGCGAGTTTCAAACGAGTCCGATAACGCACCCAATATCTTCACGCAGCACTGTACACCATCCATCGTACCCCTGATCAGTCTGGTCAGCTTCCGGGGAAAACTGTTCTCGTCCATAATCTTCCATAGCTCTTCACGGTCAATAGTATCATAAGCGGCCTTGACATCGATGAATAGGTGGTGCGTAGGGACTTGATATTAACGACACTTTTGGAGGATCTGCCGCAACGTAAAGATTTGGTCCGTTGTCGATCGCCCGTCCACAAAACCGGCTTGATAACTTCCCAAAAATCTGCTTGCTAGCGGCGATAAACGGCGAAAGATAATCTGGGAAAGCACTTTGTAGGCCTCGTTAAGAATAGTGATCGCTCGATAGTTATCCCATTTTAGTTTGTCGCCTTTTTTATATACTGGGCATATTACTCCCTCTTTCCACTCCTCCGGTAGCTGTTCTGTATCCCAGATCCTCACTATCAGTCGGTGCAGACAAGTGGCCAACTTATCCGGACCCATTTTGATAAGTTCCGCTCCGATACCATCTTTCCCAGCTGCTTTGTTGTTCTTAAGCTGTCGGATAGTATCCGTTGTACCGACGAAGCCATTCCTCCTGCCGCCTTGGTCCTCCGCCTCTGCGCCGTTCAGGTGTTCATCGTAGTGCTGCTTCCACCTTTCAATCACCTCACGTTCGTCCGTTAAGATACCCCCTTCCTTATCCCATTTCGGCTCGCGGCACAATGTCTTGGCGGGATACGTTGAGTTTCTTGTAGAACTTGCGTGAACGATACAGCTGCTCCATTTCTTCACACTCCAGCTCTTCCAGCCGGCGCTTCTTATCCCGGAAAAGATGGGTTTGCTGTCTTTGCTTCTGTTTATATTGCTCCACATTATGACGGGTTCCTTGCTGCAGCATCACCGCCCGCGCTGCGTTCTTCTTGTCCAAAACCGTCTGACACTCTTCGTCGAACCAATCGTTCCGTCGATTTCGCTCCACGAACCCAACGGCGCCTGTTAATGGCTGCTTTCACGTTGCTCCAGCATTCCTCAAGAAGGGCTTCGTTGAGCTCTCCCTCATCCGGCAACACTGGGTCGAGGCATTGCACGTACTCAGTAGCGACTTCGGGCAGCTTCAGTCGCTCCAGATTGTACCGTGGCGGGAGTCGGTACCGAATGTTGTTGGCAACGGAAAGTTTTTGGCGCACCTAGACCATTAGAAGGTAGTGGTCCGAATCGATATTTGCGCCGCGATAGATCCTGACGTCGATAAAGTCCGAGAAGTGCCTTCCGTCGATCAAAACGTGGGCGATTTGCGATTCTGTCTGCTGCGGTGATCTCCAGGTGTACCGATATGGGAGGCTACGCTGGAAGTAGGTACTACGTATGGCCATGTTCTTAGAGGCGGTTAAATCGATGAGTCTAAGGCCGTTGGCGTATCAAGCTGGGTCAACAGGCGCCATGGGGAAGTAAACTTCCACCTGACACAGTTCCTGTCAGGCCATGGCTGCTTTAGGGGCTACCTGCATAGGGTCGGACATGCAAGTACTCCCATCTGCCCCACGTGTGCTGGCGTCGAGGAGACCGCCGAACACGGTATGTTCGCTTGTCCACGCTTCGAGCCAGCATCGAGCGCTATGCTTGCGATATGCGGAGCGGATACCAGTCCGGATAACATCGTTCCTAGGATGTGTGGTACCACCGAGAACTGGAGCGCGGTGGTGACTGCGGTCACCCACATAGTTTCGGAATTACAACGACAGTGGCGTGCCGAGCAGCAGTTGCCTACTGCCCGACTAGATCGATAGAGTATTGCTAGAGAGGCGCCATAGCGCTACAGCGGCCCCTCCTACGAAGTAATGCCTTCGGGCGTTCCGGGGAGGTCAAGGGCCAAGCGCACAGGGTAAGGTTTAGTGGGTCGGGAGTGAAATTTTCCCATCCCCACACCCTGTGTTCCTTCTCAGGTGTCTGTGAGCAGATTCCCCCCTGTATAAAAAAAAGGCCGTTGGCGTTTGTTAGTTGGTGAGTGCTGAACTTCCTATAACCGGTCTGAATTCCTCCTCCTGGCCGACCTGAGCGTTAAGATCTCCGATGACGATTTTGACGTCATGGTTTGAGCAGCTGTCCGATTTCTCAAGGCCAGCCGAATCCGCATCATGAAGACGACTCAAATTTTCGAATTGTGCGACCAAGTGACGTGATGACACTCTCCCGAATCCCCTTGGCGATTGGCTGCAGGACCGCGAAGGCAATGCAGCTGAAAAGGGACTTAAGAAGACCGTAACGGTATTTGCCCAGCGAGAAATCACCGATCGATATGTTCCACGCCGAGACGAACAAGTTTCGGCCTTCGGTTACAGCATTAGATGGTTACATTTCTTCGGTTCGAACGAAATCTCGAACCTTCCTCTTGATGGAGCCCATCAGCGCCCGCACAGTGGAAACGAACACGGAATCAGCGCATTTTTTTCCATTTTGCCCGCATTTGCTGAATGTCCTTGACTGCCCCGTCGCTTCGTCGAAGTCGCTCCTGTGAAATTGCCCAGTATTTTTCGATTGGTCGAATTTCCGGGCAAGTCGGAGGATTCATTAGCTTGGGGACAAAATCGATCTTGTTGGAAGCATATCACACCAGAACCACTTTAGAGTAGTGGTAGCTGTGCCAAAAGATGATTTTGCGCCTAGGTTTGTGGATGAACGGCTTTTTCAGGCATTCTTCGATGTAAACTTGGGATGTCATCGTCGATGATGTGACGAATGGTT